GATCCATCTGTTCGCTCGACTGGCGTCGAAAGCTGGCAGCTTGTCTGGCGTCTTTTTCTGGCAGCTGGACGCCATGGCATCGCTGTTGGTGTCGCTGCCATGGCATCCTATTGCGATACCGCCCTAAGAGAAATAGATCCGGTCAGTACAGCTTACTTTCTCACGTTACTCAGGTTTAGACAAAACACTCGTACCATATTCCATCCGCCATTAGATTTCCTCGCGAAGATACGTGGGAAAACATTTGCTATTTCCTTTTTCCTTCAGAACCGAACGAGACACGTGGACGATCGTCGTGTGTTCGCTTTAGAACTTATACACGTTACATCACGTGTTTTCAATATTTGCCACGCCCTTGCAGAGGGTTAAGCATGGTTTAGGTTTGAGAATAATCGACTGCTATAGACATATAATAAGCTACGGTGGTCTAGCGGTTAGAACGCTGGCCTTGTAATCCTGGGGTCTCGGGTTAGATTCCCGGCGGTGCCCGAATTTTTAACTTGTGTTGGGCAAGGCCGTGGTCTCGGCAACACGGAGTTTTCCTCCGTGGCCTCCCAACAATTACTCCATTCACACACAGAAGAAGGCAATGTCAAACCACTTCTGGATCATCTGCCAAGAACGTATATGAACAGGTCCCAGTCCGAGAAAAGGATGGAAGGATCCTGTTCATATGGACCTGTCGTCAGACAGAACACTAGATAATAAATAAATAGACATATCCCAGTCTTGCCGGCATCGATCCTTTCGCGTTGCTTCGTTTACGGCATCTCTTTGAATAAACAACGCTAATCTGCATACGAAGAAAAGCGCACATCTTGTTATGAATGTTAATTTTGAAAACGAGCTTATTCTGTAATACGGGGCGAACTTGGTGCAAGCAACGAACCGAACCATGGAAAGGCTGTCTGCACTAAGAAGTTTGAGAAAAGGAAACGAATGGGCTGTAGAGAGAAAATACGCTAGAAGGGGGGGGGGTAGTTGGCAACGGGCAGGGCAAATAGATAACCTCTGAACCTGGACTTGTCATAGAACGAGAAGCTAAAGGGTGGAACAGACCCTTAGTTTTTTTTCTTTCCGTTAAAGAGAGGGATGTGGAGGAAAAGAGGGAAGTTGAATGGTTCCAAAATGAAATAGTATTTCGAGGGAGGTGAGGCTGGAGAAAATTAACAGTCGAGTTTGGAATTTTGGCAGCTGCTTCAAAGGCTGAGTGATATTTATTGAGATTTCAGTTTCTCATATCGGCGAGTTTGACGACGGTCGTCCGGGATGTTGGCTCGACGTTTCAGAGACGCATTATACCAGAAAGCTGTTATCTTAATTCCGGATGACATTTCATTGTTCTGTACGGGGGAAATGGTAACACGGAATGTGCTCGTCAGGACACACAGTAGCGCTCTTTAAAGTTCAGGTGCCTGGAATACAAATGAGGTTCATTACGAAGTGAAGGAAGAATAAATTCACAATATTTTTTTTAATTTTTGTTGTATATTTCAAAATTCTTGTCGTTTCATTTACTTTTGCAAAAACTGCATGAAGATGAAAGTAATTACATTAAATAGTTTGTCAGTTCTTTTGTACGCTTGAGAAAGGCGGTTTTTACCATGAGATAAAAATACAAACTGCAAGTGTTTGAAATCGTGATGAGAAAATTTTTCGCTCTGAAGGGAGGATTAAGTCACCAGCAAATTTAATGTAGTTTATTATTTTATTTTAACAATAACGAAGAATTCTATGATTTATGTGAATCACCAAATATTGATAGGTTTTTCGATGTTTTTGTACTGGTTTGTGACACCGTGTGTACTTTTACAGTCCACAGATCAGGAGAAAATCCCTGCTAGGAATTCGATATACGCGCATGCGCAAGATTTCGCTGTGAGTGACGACCCATCCTAAAAGCATTCGTTCCACAACCACTGAACGAACAACAGACGACAGGCTTAATGGGTACAGCTTTAAGATTACCTCACAGAGGCACAGCGATTTAATCTAGAATATTATCACATCACCCACAGAACACAGTACAGGTGCACTCACGACACGCTGCTTTTAACTGATTGATGTTTTCAGTCTGTATAGTAGAGTAAAACTCTGACGTATCGCACTTCCCACCAATAGCAGCCCTCTAGTCCACCAGGCAGTAAACATTCCCCCCCGCACCGCACCGGAAACGACTTCCCTCAGCAGGGTTTTTCTCGTGATCTGTGGACAGTAGTTAGATATCAACGTTTCAGAGAAATATTCTATCTAAAGCTTTAGCCTTGAAGATGGAGAGGGTATGTTTGTTCGAAATCGATATTCCACCGCAGTGTG